ATTCGTTAAGAAACAGTGAATTTGATATTCCTACTTTTAACACTATTAACTATGGAAAACATCCTATTAGATATCAAGGACCTCATATATGGTCGAAACTAGGTAATGAATTGAAAGGCTCCTCGAATATAGAATCTTTTAAAAATAACAGTAGGGAAAAAGACCTAACGTCACTCTTGAACAACAACAATACTAACAATAGCTGCTGTAACCTTTGCAATTCTTAGAGACTACCTCTTAAATACCCATTGTTTTATTGTACAATTTATACATGCTACATATTTTAATTGTATATACATTTTTATTATTATTCCTTATTTGTGAATAATTTTAATTTTTTTGTTGTGTCCCCAATTAGTTGTGAAAACTAAATACAATGACACATTAATAAAGCTTTTTACTTTACTTTTTTTACTTTTTACTTATGCTCGCCCGTAATGATGACTATAACTCCTCAACGAGAGCAGTCTATATTCGTAGTAATAAGAGAAGTTTACATCTGCTTTGACAAAGGCTGTCCTAATAAGCACATGCGACAATGTCGAAACGTATTAAGAGTAATGGTGGTGTACTGTTACTTGATAAAAGCACAAGGTGTTTCAGCGGAATAAAAGGATCAATACAAACACGTGAATTCTTATTCCTCCTTCCGCTTCCTGCTGAAACATGGCGCGCTATCAAGCAGCGATTTATAAACTTTTGCTATGCATAATGCCAATCAGTATTGTCGGGTACGTCACTAGAGCTGTAGTTACTTTAATCGTATCTATGACAAAATTCTCGATCGTGATTTGTTCTCCGGGCGCCTATTTGCGACGTAATCGGCGCGCGATTTGCACGTCAATTACGCGTGATCTAATGACTTTTTTATGTTTTCAACAGTTTTTAAAACTTATGGAGAACACTTCTGACTTTTTCGCTCAAAAGAAGTCCTTAAAAGACTTTTTTTAATTTCGAAATTTGTTATAGATACGATCAATTCGTAAGCAATTTAGGGAGTAATCGTGCTCGAAGTTTCAAAATGGCGTTCTGCTTGTCTGATTACTCCCTGAATTGTACTCGGCTCGGTCCATTACTATTATGACGATAAAAAGGTGGTTGTAATCGAATGCCCTCATCCATGAAATTATTAACACAGAATAGCAGCCCTAAACGATACCTTGGCGACTAAGAATACCGGCATTCTGTCCTTAATTAAACCTAAAACCGAAAACCCGGAGACAATAAGTATCCCAACCCCTTCCCCTCACGGACTTGACACAGACCTTATGTCGCGCCATTAAGTGGAGGATAAGCAGGGCCGTGTCGTGTTAATTCGAGGAGTTTTACCCTGTCATTTTCCGATCAAAAACAACACGAGCATCAAGATATGTCATCCCTACCCTACTGCATTTCAAAGGAAATAGAAAAATTTACTATCTCTGACGTATCTGCCTTCCAAGACCGCTTCCGGTACTTAGAGCAGAACTACACCTGCAATTCTGACGAAAGCTTCGCAAATGAGAGGAATTGCGACCCCTAAGAGCTAAATGATCAATATCGTAACACTGAATACTCAAAATGCCTGGCTCAAAACAAAGCTTAACGCTCTTGAGTTGTGTGTCGATAATTGCCTTGAAAGTTCCCTAGTGTTCTTTCAGTGGGTGTAATTTATAGAGTTTAGGAAGCGCTCAGCAGAATATCTATATTTTTTGTTCCATAACTTAAAGTTTAGTGTCATAAAACTTGGAGCTTGGAATTTCCCCCCGTTGTTTGAAGTTTTCCATCCCATTTATGGATCCTGCAGTGAAAGAAACAAAATGAGAATGAAATGTTGATGAAAAATAAGTCTCCCTAGAACTAGTGAAAGAAACAAAATGAGAATGAAATGTTGATGAAAAATAAGTCTCCCTAGAACTAATTATATTTTAACCGTCGATATATTTGACGCACACAGATTGCAATCTTTTTTTAGAACTTCAGCTTTCATTGTAAGCGTTTGGAACAATTCCAAGAGGTGTTTCGGCGAGGCATTTTATTTCACGGCGAAACGAGATCCACGAAAGATTTACCTGGGGATGATAACTGTGTAATTGTTGAAGCAATCGAGGATCTGTCATATCGGGCCATTTGCCTCAATCGAGTTCTCCTTATAGAATTAATTAAACTCTCCCTTATCTAAAATGAAAAGAAAAGCAGACAGAAAAAAGACATAATTAGAAGCAAAACACAGATGCAAAACGACAAGAGAACTCTTGCACGATATATATAATCATGATTATGATTCCAACGAT